GGGCACACAGTAGCATAATGTGTGATGCAGCACACACACATGTGAAATGTGCCAATGCCTACTTGTGAAGTAGAACCCCTCCGCCTGCACCTCACATGGACTCCGAACTTCTTCAGAGGATTACCAGTCGGAGAGATATCTGTTTAATCACAAATTCGCAAATCTGGAATTATCTTATTGACTGAATTTCTGTGTCTTTTTAGTAGATGAGGTGGTAAAGTGAGGAGTGGTTGGCACTCCGTACCCTTATGGTCTTCTACTTCGGTGCTAAGTGTTAAGGGTACCAGACCAGGCAGGAGATAGAGATAATCAGAAAGAAAACTTAAAGGTCAAGATATACCTAATGATAAATGGCTCTTGCATAATCACATTCAGCCTAAAATATAAGCCATTTTAAATTTATTTAAAGAACAACTTTTAATTTTATGATTTTTACAATTCCAAACTTCAAAAATATTATTCCAGACAATTATTTTTCAACTAGAAATATTGCCTAGGAATAAATAATGCTGCTTTGATAAACTTGACTGTATTTTCTTACTAAATTCACATCTTTCCACTTTACTTTGTCATAGATTTACCTCCTATGAACTTGGGGATAAGAACAATTTACCTTCTATGAACAATTTAGGATAAGAACTTGTAAAGATTTTGCACCTTGCGGTTTTTAAAGGTGGAGGTGAATTTTGACTGGATGATCACTTACTGGGGCTCCTCCCAGGATCTCTGCCCTCTTGCTGTTTGCATGATGGGGTTTTCCAAAGGCTTGCAGTGCTTGAGGAGACTTTTCCCCAACCTCCAGCCAGATGCAATGAAAGCCTATGAAACAGAGTCTGTATCCATTTCAAGAAAAAATATCCTCAACATTTGTCAAAGATGAAGGGGGAAGGCTGTAGGGATGGTTTTCAACTCAGGAATCTCATCCATACAGGAGCGACACAGAGTCAACCTTGGGGAGTCACTTATTTCTGCCTTCATACGTTCTGAATTCAGCTCATCACCTTCTACTAGAGTCTCTGAGCAATCTCATTCATCATTTTAGCGAAGGAAACGTGAGTCACTTGAATTATTAGAATGAAGGCATGCTGTACACTGTCCCCTGATGAATTTGAATAAAACAAACACAACCAAATTGACTTGTGTGAGAAAACTCAAAGTAATGAAATATTGCCAGCTTACAAACATGCCATTCAGGTATTATGGAAATAACCTAACCAAAATCGCTCAAGAAACAAAATTAAAACCAACTCACTATACTTGAGTGTCACAGGATTTTCAGGTAATAGCTTGTAAAATGAAGGGTACTTTTACAATGCTGATGTAAGTTTCAGCAACCTAAACCTTGTCTTGGGAGAGTAACAATTCTCAGTAATTCCAAAGGAATATGCTTCTAATAAAATTATAAGCCTCTTTCCTGTAGATGAATTCTGCTGTTTCTGTTGCATTCAATTTTATCTTTGTTTTTGTTTTCTTACTTCAAAAGACAGCTTCAAATCCTCTTGTGTGATTAGGTGGGATTTAAATTGTAAATACATCATGAGGGAAAATAATTAATATTTTGAGCATCTTCTCTGCATTGGGCACCTCATCACTTAAGCCTCAGAACACTGCTTAGAACTGTCCTTGTTTTGTGAAGTCCCTGGCTGAGGCTTGGAGACATCATGAGACTCAAGATTGCAGAGCTTGTAGTGAAACCCTCACCATGCATGTCCATGCATTTGACTCCTAAGGCTGGGTTCACCTTGCTTTCACTGGAAGCATTGCATTTCATATTGCATAATTCAGTAAGCAGTGTTGCATCCTATGTGTAGCATCTTTGTTCCCATAGCAAAATGGCCTCTGATGTCAGTAGGGTTCTCTGACATTATCTGAACATAGAAGAAGACTTTCTGTAGGTCTGCCCTGAAGTGACGAGACATGTTTAAGCATGACCTGTCCAACTTGCTTTGGTGCCTTCTAATAGAGCAAAAGCTTGTCCGGAGTTGATCATGCCCACACCGGTGCGAGCTCTCTTGGTCTCTGTGCAGCAGGAAGCCATCGTGTTCCCCCTCTTTTTATCTCTTGGTGCTGCTTCTCATTCTAGGGAGCAGAAGAACCTTGATTTTCACTGCATAGAACTTCCGGCCTGAGCAAGGTGCTGCAGTCTGCGTGGCAGATGCGTGCATCATGGTTCTGCCTGTTTCGGAATCTGGCCTTTTTGCATCAGACACCCTCTCCTGGGAATCCTCCTCCCTGGCCACGCATCATGGTTCTGCCTGTTTCGCCTGTTTCGGAATCTGGCCTTTTTGCATCAGACACCCTCTCCTGGGAATCCTCCTCCCTGGCCCCGCTTCTTAACCTGCAAAACTCCTTTCGGCTTTCTTGTTTTTGTTGGTTTGTTTGTAAAATTTAGGATTGAACTCAGAGACTTTTCACTAAGCTACATGGCCAGATTCCACTCGCCTTTTGAATCTTGATACAAGATTTCTCTCAGTTGCTAAGTAACCCATAATCTAGACCAGGCTCGAATTGGCAATCCTCCTGTCTCAGCTTCCCAGCGTGCTGGTTCACAGACAGGCATGACCAAGATGTCCTGCTTCTTTGGGTTCTTAATCTCCTCCAGGAATTTCTCTACAATATTCATCTTTCATAGATTCCTTTCTGGCATCACACTGTACTATGACCATCTAAGTTTCTGAGTCTCTGATATAGTGGGAACTTCCTGAAAGCAGGGTTGGGCTGAAAATACAAGATGTGAAATCACTACAAATCCTTATCCTAATTTGTCCTTGTAAGTTCACACAAGGCATTTGTGAATCTATCACAAAAAGCGAAGTGGGAAGATGTGACTTTAGTCAGAAAATATAGTCAAGTTTATTAAAGCAGCGGTATTCTTTATATATCACCACAAATTGTATATTAATAACTTCATGGTTCAGGGCCAACACATAAATTCTCAATAAGGCTTTGCTTAAGATAATTACTTTATAATCCCTTCAGGCAATTTTAAAAATATTTCATAATGAAAATTATGCCTAATCCATAGGAACTCCTCTGTGTTTTGCAAGGAATTTTGGAAGAGCTCATCAAGGGTATACTAGATTACGGTTACACAACTTCTATTGCTGAGTGAGTAGGTGATAGCGGACAAATCAGCGCATTTAGCGGGTACCAGTATACCTGAAGACATTTTTGAAAGCCTTGGTGTTTAGAAACAATAGATTTATATTTGTGACCTCTTGTATTTAAAGACTGCATCATTTGATTTGCTCTTTCTTAAAGTCGATTCTCTCTAGATTTTAAAAACTACAAAGTACTGCTTACAAAACGTGACAGTCAGGTTCATTCTGGGGACTTGGTGTCCGTGATGTTTGGGACCCTTTCCCTCTCCTGCCCCGACTCCTTCCCCATCTCCAAAACGTCCGCTTTAGAAATGTTTCCCAACATCTCTTGAGCAAGGCAGAGGCACAGACCTTTGCAGCGCTGTATCCCTTTGGCCAGCGAGGAGGTGGACACGGGGGATGACGCCTCCCTCTCCGTCCTCTCTGTCATGATCCCGGTAGCCACAGGCCCTGAGAGAGGAGCAGGGCTGGAGCCTCCCCGCAGATCCAGCTCCACTTCCGAGCCACTGAACGGCCTGGTCCTGGTCCTCTGAGAACTCCAGCTGCACCGAGGAATCTTGCAAAGGTTCAGTGGTTCAGTGCCCAGGAGCTGCTGGGGTCACTCGCGTACTCCAAGCACTTAGAGGTGCTCCTTAGGGAAGGCCAGACACAGCAGGCTTCTCGGGGTGTCCCGGCCTTCCCTGTCTGCCTTTTCAGGTGAGGCAAAGGACGTCTGTGATGTTCGTGCCCGGTCTTTGCTCTCACTAGCAAAATCAATCACAACTCGGATTTCTGTGTCTCTCAACGGCCTCTGGGATCCTTCGCCCTCTGCAGGCCTGATGGTGCTGGTGACTCACTGGGGGGGGGTGGCAACCACAAGAAAATCCTGAAAGCAGCAAAGCCTCAGCTGCTTGGCGGGAGGGCCCAGCTGGGAGAGTGGTGTGTGAGAGACACTGATTGCTCCTCTCGCTAAACCAGCATTTGGCTGCGAGAACCAGTTTTGAAGAATTTTTCAAGAATTCTAAAAAAGGCAAACTTCCAGCAAGTAGGCAGGTCTGCTGACATTTGATAATATCTAGCTGTCAGAGAGGTTTAAAAGGTACACGTGCGCACATCGATTCCCGGATTAAAAAAAACAAAAAACTAAAAACACCCAGCAGGAATTTGCAGAATGAAAATTAATGATAAAACATTTCTCAAGGATTTCATACGAGATCGCATAATGGTTCATGTTTGCAGTGAGGCCCAAATGGTACCAGTTAATTAAAGATGTCACTTGGGATAAGAAGTGCTCAGAAATGTTTCTAGGCTTCTCTTTGTCTTTCTTTCTTTCTTTCCTTCTTTCTTTCTTCAGTCAATAGTAAACCCCAGAACTCAAGGGAAGCTTTCAAGGTTCTGTAAAGCTGAATATATTTTCACTGTGGCTTATTATTTACTTAACTGCAGGTCATTTGTTTTGGCAGGAGAAAATGTACCTGTTCCCTGCCAAAAGGCCTATGAATTTTAACTTTCTTTTATTGCCTTACTACATCATTTGAGAATTTTTTGGTAAAATTTAAAAAAAAAGATGATTTTTCAGTACATTAGAGTTTTTCTAAGCATCTGTGATTTTAGTTTCCATAATTTAAAGTGCATATTGAAAATAAATTGCTCTATCTGATTGCATGCAGACTTTCCATTAATAAAGCCAGTAGATGTTTGACGTAATACGCACCTATGGAACACGACGTATTTCAGAAACAGCTCTAACAATAACTGAGTCTGGAAATGTCACCTTAAAGAGCTCAGCTGTTAACAGTTTTCTTACTGTACAGTGCTTCCTGTTTGTACTCGGGGTGATGAGTTGTGCAAGCGAGGGTCAGTGCACATTTCCGCTGTGGATGTTGAGCTTGTTCATCTGCTCTTGTGTCCCCTGCACAGGACAAAGCCCAGCCCCAGGCCCTCCGGTGCCCGTGCTGCAGGCTCCCAGACCTGTGCCTACCACACCTACTCTGGAAGGTAAGTATTTTCCTTGCCATAGATTTCCACTGTAGACAATTTAAAATGTAGAAGACAACAAAACAATAATAAAAGGTGTAAAACACAGTATCTTTTGCATAGGTTTGTTACCTGTGAAATACAATTCATTTTTTCTGAAGTTCTAACTTGCTCCTTTTTAGAAAAGGGAAAAAAATTTCCCCTTAAGATTTGATATTAGTGACATTCAGCTTCCAGAAGGATGACTGACTGGCTCACCGCCCTGGAAGTCTGTCCAAAAAATATAGGGCTGGGCCAGGGACTTAGCTCAGTAGCAAGCACAAGGCCCTGAGTTCAATCCCCGGTACCACACACACACACACACACACACACACACACACACACACAGAGAGAGAGAGAGAGAGAGAGAGAATGTAGAGAGTAACAGAATGTACCTGGGAACTTTTGCAATTTTACCTCAATTTAGTCAATTTTTTATCAGAAGCCAGGCACTGAAGTTGCCGGAGTTAAGTCCAATCTCACCTTTCACAAACATTCTAAATTTAAGAAGTTACTTACATTTGGTGTTCTGAGTTTTGTCCTCTCTAGTCGGTTATATGAGTACCACTGACCTGTGAGTGTGAGTAGATGATTTCATGCATACATATAATTCGTGCACATGTACAGTTGATAAGTGTTTGTGTACAATTACTAGCAGAGGCCACTACTGCTAAGCACTTTTTCAAAACATGTTGTTTCAAGAACTAAAAAGTAAAATGGAGTAAATGTAATAATGATAAATTTTACTAGAAATTTGACATCATTTCTTTCCATCTTATTCATTCACTCCTTCAACTGTTACTTAGATCATGTCCACGGGACCAGGTCAGACAGTCTTAGCCACTTTCTCACCACTGGAACAAAATACCCAGCATTCACAGCATAAAAGAGGAGAGGCTTATTTGGCTCCCAGTTTCCCGTGGACTTGGTCTGATGTCAGCAGAAGGGCATGGTGGGAGTGCAGTAGCTCCCGGGACAGCCAGGACGTGGGTGGGGGAAGACCAGGGACAAGAATGCCCCCTTCCAGTTGCTGGGGTGACCACCTCCTCTGACCATGCTCCACAGCCATCCTTGAACTTTGCACAGCCAGCTCAACAATGAGGGTGGCCCTCCATGATCGGTCACCTTCCAAACCCCGAAACTTTGAAAGACATTTCAGATCCAAGCCACAGTACAGACACTGTGCAAAGTATGGGAATTTAGAGATCAGTAAACATTTTCTGCAGTTCCCTGACCCAGTTCGCAATAACAAAGCCAGCATATGAACAAAGGTCCTCCCAACTCACAGTCCCTGCTAGGTCTGCGGAGAAGGTCATATTTTATTTCTAAATTATAGCAACCTGTTACAGTAGGTACACTATTTTGGTCTGGTCACTTACACAACTTGGATTAGTTATCAGTTGCAAATTTTTTAAAAAGAGCCCATGGAAATGTAAGTCAGTACAGCATTAAAAGAGAATTTTTGTCTGGTGACTTGGCAGTGTGATTTAGTGTAAAGTTCATGAGCGTCTTGCTCAACGACTCCAAAAACATTGCTTTTTGAATATTTACAGAACCGTATAGAAGTAGCCCAAGGTGTGCACCCGTTGTCTCTCATCATCTCCAATCCACAGTGCATTTCATCTACAGGTCTTTTACTTGTTTATCTGTCCGTGTGAAGGCCTTGGGTAGAGAGGGCTTCCCTGGGTCTCCACCCACACCCTGGGAATCCCTTCACCATTCACTCTCTTGGCTGCAGACCTTGCTCCTGAGTGAGAATTGTGTGAAGACAGCTTCCTCTTGATGTGTGATTTCTTAGATTCCTGATCAGCCCTGTCCTCTGAGTTGTCTTGGGTGTCACAGCATTTACTCAGACCAGGAGGCTTAAATGATGGAATATGCTTCTCATGGCTTTGGAGACTGCAAGTCCACAGTCAGGGTCCTGGCTTGGTCAGGCTTCCTGCCATGCCATGCTGCCGTCTTACTGTTCCTCACTTGGTAGAAAGCGAGGCAAGCCCAGGAGATCTTCTTAGAATAGACCTGTTCCGCAGGCCCAGGGCTCCACAGAGAACCCCTTCCACCTTCCTCAACTCCTCTTAGGCCCTGTCACCCATAGGGTCATGTGGAGCTCAGCACGTCAACATACAAATGTGTAGTGGGACACAGTTATCTTACAGGGCGTAGTAACGTGTAAATTTCATCAGTAGACCATTAAACCTGTTTAAATATCTATCTCACACAGTTAAACTTATTTGAGTACGTCTCTCTGAGCTGCAAATGACTTTTCTTTTTCATATTTGTCATTTACATTGTTAAACAGCATGTATTCTCCGTTTTGCCATCTTCTGTTTGTACTTTGAATTGACAAGATAAATTTTTAAAAGATCTTAACTATTCTCAAACTTAACAGAGTGTATACTGAAAGTAACAAAAAATCTTAGTAGTCTCACAGATGGCCACTGTTATGTGTCATTTACCTAAAGATTAAGCCAGTAGTTTACAACAGATCTAACAGTACTCAATCCGAAAAAGAGAGGGAAATGTACGAGTCATGGTCCTTTTGACGTTTGGGCTTTAATAGCTCAAGTGACTGGAGATAATTTGACATAAAATTGCCAAGTGACTATCTCCCTACCCACATGCTCACAGGATGAGGGGGAGCAGTAAATAATGTCCTGTAACTGTAACTTTCATTGGATCCTAGCGAGATGAACATAAATCATGGAGTTCAGAGTCTCCAACTTGAGGCAGACTTTGATAGTCAGGGTATTCAAATATCTGCCTCCACTTTATCTCAGAGCACACAGAGGTTCACAAACCACCAAACAGCAAATGTTTTGTCTGTTCATCTGTCACCTGGAAAAGGAGGTGTCATTTGTTAAGCAGGATGCTTCCGTTGTGATGTTATATTTAAAGAGTGATTTCATCTGACATTTCAACCTAGAATGCAGAGCCATGCTTAAGTGAATAGAAAGATGGCGTTTCGAGAATACCAGCCTTTTGTGAATTCTGTCTGCTTTCGGGGTGCAGAGCCAGCACCCTTGTTCTGAGGACGGGAGCTTGCAAGGAGTCCAGGTCATTGGGCAAGGCTTTGGGCAAGGCTGAAATGGGGGCTTTGTCAGGGCTGGCAGCACCGCCTCCGACTTTATTAGCATAATTGATCAGGAACTAGGACACATTTAGTGTTAATCAAGCTGATCATGCCAGTCCTCTTGATGCACTATTTTGGTCTGGAACTTCCTTGGGATTAAGTTGAAAGAAAATGGTTTTTATGTAAAACAGAGAAACCATGTTCCTGAACGAACACAAATGGAATTGTAGGAATTTAAACACATTTAAATTTTAATGTTTTTAAAATGTATGTGTTATTAAATTTGATCATAGGACTTTGAACACAATTTAGAACTTTATCAGTAGAAATCTAAAAATTTATGCACCTTGTGTGGGCAACAGAACTCTATACATCTGTAATGCTTTTGAAATTCTTCTTTGTGCTTTCATAGATGTTTAAAATTTGGTTTTCTCACCACATGCATTCTATTCTGGGAAATATCACTGTACTTCTTATGTCAGAACATTTATCAGTGCCTTGAAGTTGTATACACCTTCTTGGATTTTTACTGTTATCTCCTATAACATGCTTTGTACACGATTATAAAGTTTTCATTGTTTTGAATATTTAAACATAAAGAGACCAGCCACATATTAAACTGCTTGTTTCCTTTGACCCCTGGTATATTTTTACTGTATAGTTGCTTAGGGAAAATTGGCTATCATACCTTTAACTAGATAGTACCTAAATAATCACTTCAAGTAAGTATTTTCATCACTGTTGTCAATTTATACTGAATTCCAGAATAGCTTGAGGAGAATTAACCTAGGAATGGACCTAACCAATATAATACTAATTCTTATAATAGTTCAAACATTCTTAAATTTTGATACAGAATTAATTATCATAGCCTTTAGCTGTTCTCACCAAAGATGGAAAGCCCAGAAATTTGAAGGTCTGTGTGGTTGTAACCCATTTATTATACAAATGCAGCAGGGCTGCATGGGGTGTTTCACCCTAATCAAATAGTATTTTACAAGAGCTGGGGATTTAGCTCAGTGGTTCTGCTGCCTGCCTTGAAAACGCAATGTCCCAAGTTCAATCCCCAGTACAAAATAAAAATAGTATGTTATAGTATTAACCTTCTAAGTTGCTTTACCCCTTAGAATGAGTGTCATTTCATCATCAAATATTGGTCAGCAGTTTCACTAACCTCCTATTCTAAGAACTGTATTACTCAGGAAAGATCAGCCCTTCTTTTCTGGCACACAATCTTCAGTAATTAAATAGACAATCTCAATCAATGTTACTCATGCCCCAATCACCAAGAAAAGCAGAAAAACCATTTCATGAAATCCTCCTGTATAAATTCATCACAACTGTCTAGTGACTGGATTGAGAAACTCCTGGAGAGGTGAGTGGATCATTGGGCTCCATACTTATCAGTGGCTCAACCCTCTGAAGGCCATAGTTGAGTGTGTGGTTAGTGGTGAAGCCCAGTTAGTGGAGGTGGAGGTCACTGCCTCTGGCTGGTGCTCTTTCCCTGAACTCTGCTTTCCATCTACCAAGAAGTGAGCAGCTCTGCTCTACCACTCCCTACCACCATGAGCTGACCATGGACTGAATCCCCTGAAACTGTGAGCCAAAATAAACTTCTCTCCTTTAAGTTGTGGCCATCAGATATTTTGTACCAAAACGACTGAGACACAGACATGGAAGGAAAAAGTTAAGTTTTACACTATCAGTTGACTAAACTTTATCAATCAGTTGACTTAGGATTTCTATACCTTCACTTACAAACTTGGGTACTGGACTTAAATAGACCCTAAAGCCCCTCTCTGCCTATTTATTTGTCCCTTGTATTTTTAGGATGTTGGTAATGAGCTACCTTAATAATGGAGGAAAGCCTCTATGCTTGGCTTAGGTGTAAATAGCATGGCAGAGTTGTAAA